TAGGGAAAAATAAATATGAGAAATGGGCATTTTCCAATAATAAACAGTTCAACAAATTAAGCACTTAAAGAAATGTCTATTCTAATAAACATGCACTTGTACTTAGAGTATTTCACAGAGACCTGCCAGAGCTCGAGTTCAGTAGCAATCTTTAGCTGCTCAAATCTTGTATCGAGATACAGTTGCAAGCTTTCTGGTGCTGACAGATCAGGTCTGTCCCTTTGGTCTCTGTACTTGTTAAGATTGGCTAAATGGTTCCTGATGATTTCACACAACCTGCGAAACTCTGTTGTTCGCTTGTATTGCTTGCAGAACTGGAAAGCTCGGTGTGCTGTCATCTATAAATAAAGGCCAATAATTATATATAGATATTAGGACAAGAATAAAACGTTGCATTTATACAGCAAATTGCAAGAGTAAGTCAATCGAAATGAAAGTGCAAGTATCAAATTTTAAAAAATAAAATAAAAACGACGACTATTGACAACACAAGAATGACCTTGTTTCATGATAATAAATGAAAATATATACATATATAAATATGCATATAAATCTGTGAACCATGAATAGCTTAAACATACATACATATATATATATATATATATATGTGAACCATGAATAGCTTCAAAAATATATGGTGAACAAACAGACAAGTTTTGGAGCAGACACATTGCATTAAAAGAAGCCTATGAACCACATGGACCATGGACAGAACTGCAGAAGATAACCAATTTTCTTCTAGAAACATACTTTATATATATATATAAACCCCCAAAAAAAAGTCCTCCAGAACAAGTCGATTGGTAAAATCTCTATTTCTACTACTAACAACCACATCAACCAACTCATCATCAATTACATAGAATGAACAAAAACTAGAAAGGGAGATTTCATAAAGAGGCTCATCTAGACCTCAACTTACTGCCCCATACTATAAACGCAATCAATGACATACCGCATATGGCCCCTACAACCCGGAAAGAAAATAACACTTGAAATAAACCTTTTCAAATTTCAATCTTCTCCATAAATTTCTTTCATACTCTTACAGTACTTTAAGACTATGGACATATATATTCAAAAGCAAAAGATGATTAACAATGTTGCAAAAAAAAAAGAAAGGGGCGGGGGGTTGGTTAGATCTGGTTTTAGAAGAAACTACTGTACCGCATAAAGTGCCTCCAGCTTTGAGTTATTCCTTAAAATTTCTAGCACCGTTCTATAGGTTTCCCACAAAAACTTGAACCAAGGTGTAACAAGTTCGCGATCAGATCTATCTTTTCCCTTCTCCCCGCTGACGTAACTTAGCATTAGATCTTCTGGCCTTTTATCTGCTTCGAGATCATCAACATCAAGTGCTTCTTCCAAGGCCTCTGCCTGACTGCGAGCCTGCTCGGCTTTCTCAGTAGACAGATGCATGAAGTGCTTAATCACCTCTTCCAGGGAACTAACATTCACTTGTTGACATATAATACGGAACTGAATCAGACCATCCTTTGCAAATCTGCCCCTCCGTAAGTCAACACAAAGCTCTACGTATTTAAACATAATCCTTTCCAGTGGCTTTTGCCATGCTCGATATCTCTTTGATGTTATAAGATCGTGAAGAGCTTGCAATGCATCCTGCTTCTGCCCAACATTGATTAACTCTGCATCAACAAAGAATATTTCAGACATGCTCGTGCCAATGCAAAAGGTGTACTTCCTATACATTCACCATCTCTACCATAATCACACATTATCTCATTTTAAACACTCAGAAATAGGGTCAGAATGTAGGAGACAATGTGATAGAGGTATGCGTCAGCTAATAATGTGTGTCAAGAATATTAACTTTTTAGAAACATCACCAAAAGAAGAATCAAGGAGTTTTTCATCCTTTATAAGGGGTCCAGGAATGAAACTCATAACTGTAATCGGAAGATAGTACCCCCCCCAAAAAAAAAAAAAAAACAAAAACAACAAACAGATAAAATTTTGGCCAGAAGTAGAACCATTGTACATAAAGGCTGTGATTGGTGGAGAGGGGAGAAAATAGAAAGAAAAGAAAGGAATATAACCTTGGTAAGGAAATTAGAGAGGAAAGAGAGGGAATTTTCTCTTCTTGTACATATTTGGTATGGATTCCCACCTCTAATCCCCCTTATTGAGAGAGATTAAAATTAGGGGTTTTTTTTTCTGAATCCCTGACATAGTCCATTCCCTCGTCTTTTCCCTCAAACCAAACAATCACAGATTCGAAAATCCTTGCACTAATCCTTTGACCCCCGTCCCTCCTCCCACTTTTCCCTTCTACCAAACAAGCTCTAAGTGAAAATAATCTTTAAAACCCAAAAGTTATACTGCAGATGCAAAAAGAAGAAACGGATTATGACTCACCTTCGGCTCGCTTCAAAGCGTTTTCAGGTTTGGCAAAGGTCGACATCTCTCCAATCAAATTCTCAGCTCCCAAAACACAGCAGATAATAATTCAATACTCACCTGAACCACAAAGTAACAATTTCATCAATTCATCACTTGTCCAATGCAGAAAATAACACAGAGACGCACAATAATCAACAACACACATCATGAAAACTACACATATATATATATAGATAATTATCAACACGGGGCGAAGAAAAATCATTTATTCGGCAAAATACATACGATCTAAACACTTCCACATCGATACCCCAAAAAAAAAAAAAAAAAAAAAAAAAAAAAAAAAAAAAAAAACACTAGACATCGTTTTGAAAATCTAAATCTACATTGTGCGAATAGCAATTAGTTAACATGTATTCCAAGAAAGATGCAAAAATTTGGCAGTTTTCATAGAGGAAAGAACCTTGAAATCAAAATCGAAGCTTCAAAAGAGCAAAAATTGGGGAAAAATCGGAACAGAGAAGAGAAAATACCTAAGGCGCTGGAGAACAAGGCACAACCGTATCGTGCAGAATGTGAGAGAGAGAGCACCTTAGGGTTTTACTATATCCCGTGAGTGGAGTCCCGTCGTAATTAGGATTTTATTGGGCTCAGCCCACTCTATATTTTGTTGGCCTTTTGACCTTAGCACTCTGTTTATTTCGGGCCTAGATCCGCAATGCTCGGCGTTTGATAAAAGAGTTTAGGATTTTGCTTACTTTTTAGTCCCTGAAGTATACTCGGTGATATCGATTTGGCCCCTGAACTTTGAAAACACGCCATTTAGCGCCTCCTAATTTGTTGCAAAAACACCCTTTCGTTATTCACATTACTCGTAACTTAGCAAATTTATCATCAAATATAACATATTGTAACTTAGCAAATTTATCATCAAATATAACATATTTTAAATTTTAGTATTGATTATTATTGGACGGTAAATTTACTTTTTTTATTTTTTTTATGAATTACTTTTTTCATTTAATTATTAAGCCATTGATATTTCATAATTACTTTAATATTAAAAAATTATTTTTATAACTTTCAAATTTTAATAATTATGACAAAAAGGAAATAAAGCATTTGTTATGTCATCATACATTAGAGCATGTCAAATATGTCATCTTCACACTTTTAGTGCCAAACATGTATTTGCATTGAAAATTATCTAAGAAACTGAACCGTCCGCCTTAGATTTTGAGGGGATCGGTTGTAACATAATTGATTTTCTATTTAAACCCTTTCACTAAAAAAAATATTTTTTTTAAATACATCATTTTAAAAGACTTTTTTATTCTTTGCTTTGCTAGGGTTTCCTTTCTCTTTCTTTCCCTTTCTTTGTGCCGCCTCTATTGTAGGTTCCAAGGGGCCGGAGTTCGGCGCCACCTTTGAGTGGTACTCCAAACTATTGGTCCTGGGGAAGGTTATCAAGTGCAGTAGTGTGGATCTCTCCAGTAAGGCCTCGATGGAATCGCGACTAGGGAGGGAAGAATAGACATTGGGGGTGTAGGGAGGGCAAGGGCTATTTTCTAGTGACCTTCCGGCTGCCTGGCTTAGGCGCTCCTATACGCCGACGAATCTAAGCCCTTTAGGGTTTGGTCCCCTTAACACAGTGTTTCCTTAAAGTGGGTTTGTGGTCGATGGGTAATTGGAAATGGAAACTATAGAGGTGGAGTGGTTGTGTCCCTTCGTGTGTGCCTCGAGGGTGCTCCAACGTCGCTTTGTTCTGGGTGCTTTGACCTCGGTTAGGTGGCGACCCCATGGGCTGGCATGGTCCGTTGCAGGCGGAGGTTGGAAGTGATGTCATTGGCTTGGCTATACTCTAGCTTCTCTTTGAATTGTTGGCTTTATCGTGGCTCTCTTGCTCGTCTATGGTGGTGGTCGGTGTGTCATTGGAGACTCGCTGGTGTCACTTAGTTTATGCCCTTTTGTTTTAATTTATGTGTTTGTCAAATAAAGGCGTTGTTGTTTCCACCATTTAGTTTTAGTGTGTTTCTATTTTGTTGTTGGCTACTGGCATGTGTTCGGCTTTATTTTGTAATAAAATAGGTGGTTTTCCCACCTTCCGGATTTGGTTATTTGTTTCTAGTTAGTGTGGAATTGTTGCTCCAACTATAATTTTTTTCTAGGTCGTCGTACTGATATCCCCTTTTTGTGGGGGTTGGTAATCTGCACCTTTAGAGCTTGAAAGTTTATCTTGATGGGAGGGATTTCTTCAATTAGAGCCTTAAGTGTGATCGTTGATAGTGTGCCGAAATTTTCTCCCGTTTCAGGCCTTAGGCGTGCTTCTGTCACTATGATGGGCCATTACCATTGTACCGTATTAACTGTTTTTCAATTTTTGTTTAAATGCAATTTTCCTTTAAAAAAAACATCATTTTGATTGAGGCTTTAAAAAAAATCTTGTGGTAAGTGTCTCCACGATGTTAAGAATTAGACGTTCTAATTATATATTAATCAAGAGCAATAAAATCACAATAAAAGAAATTAAGCAAAAATAAAAACAAACACATAAATTTATAGAGGTTTATTTCAATGTGAGACTATGTCTTCTTTCAACTATTGTAGTATTTCACTATGATGAATAGTAATTTACAAGAAAAAATCATATAGCGCCCTCAGTGTTTTCTCTAATTTCTTTAATAATGACCTAAAACCGACACCCACTTATATTATGAAAATTAGAGCAACTAGCTTATACACTTATAAAAATCCCCAAACTATCCTAAATAAAATTTTGGTCTAAAAGCTCTGCACCTTTCCAACCTCCACAACAGCCTTATCGCGAAGGTCAATCCAATAAATCCTCTACATAATGTAATAAATCGTCAGTATAATTAATTAGACTCTACGACTTAACACCCAAACCTTAACTTCTTTTTTTCTTCATCTGCATATTTTTCATCATGCTACCATCTCTCTCTCCCCTTATTTTCTGCTCCAACTCGCAATGCTTCTAAACCCGGTGTCATCATCATGAACTTACCGATGCAAACAGAACAAACTCATGAAGTATCAATTGGCGATGGCTAAATGAGGGCGCCTTAGGCTCAGTTTGGTATTATTGCAGATTTTGAAAAAATGACTTTTAGCTATGCTGAAAGAAAAAGCAGCAGTTACAAAAAGCAAGTAAGTGTTTGGTAAATGATAATTATAGTAGCTATGCTGGTTCCAAAATAACTATAATAGCGTTTAGTAAATTATGAGGTTGAATTACTATGGATAGTTAAAAATTACGATTATATTATATTATACTATAATATAATATATAATTACAATATAATATATATTTATTATTATATTTAATATAATAAAAAACTATTCTTATATAATTATGATATAGAATATAATAATATTATTAAAAT